TTGTAAAACTGGAAATGCTTTAGGTTCAGCATTGCTTCATTTGTTTTATTTGGTTATTATTATTTTTATTATTTCCCTTGCATATGGCCTGTTATGACTTCACTTCTAACGTGCATGATGTACTTGCTCGTACATGATTTTTCTGTTAAAGCTTTTAGTTATATATGATGACTCCCTTCAAATGTTTAGTTTATTATAAACTTACGGTTACTCTCTTGGTTGTGCTCTTCCTTTTTCTCTTTGTTCTTTGTGTTGGTTTATTGTAGGAAATTATAGTTTGGTTTTGGCCATGTTTGTGAGAAGTGTAAAGTCTGTGCCTTTTTTCTCTCTTATGATTGCACTAATATCATCTAGTTTTGCAAATATTCTTTTGCTCACTTCGAATCTGTACACAACAGCTCAATTTTTTTTTATGCCCTCACCTATTTGGGTTGTTAGTATAGGGAAGTTTTAAGCTTCAACTTGTTCACTACTCCCATTTTAGCATGTTAGGTAGCTTGTTGGAAGGGTCGAACCATTCTGTTTCAAATTCTCTTTGGTTAGATGCTAACAGGTTTGGTTTTAAGTTCTTTTACTTATTACCTTTGGCTTATAGGTCTGGCTAGGTTGAAATCTTCTTGTAATAATAGAGGGCTTTAAAAAAACTTCTGGACTCGTAGCAAAGGTTTCCAAACCCAGCTTTCGTCCCTTTCATCGCCTGGGAAGATCACCTTTTGTGTTTCTCTTCTGGGTTTTAGTTTGTAGAGAAAATTCTTTGAGGACTGTAGAAACCTTGCAAAATAGAATGGGGTTTAGGCTATTAGAAAGCCATTACATTATCAGATTATCTCATCCTAGTATTGTCTAATCTAAAATAGAGTGAAGGTGACAAAGGTAGGTAAAGGTCTAAAAAGGCTTTGTATTTTCATACTTTTTCTTCCTGGTTTATTAATATAAGAAAACCATAAAGCATGGGATTGAAAATGAAGCTGCTCTTGATTGATTTCGTATGGATCTCATACATGTCCTTTGTTCATTTCTTTCATGTTACCCAAGTCACTAAAGTTTAAGCCTCATGTGTTTGGATCTCTTAATAATTGAATGTTTTACGATAACTTCATGCAAATTAATATTTTATGCTATCATTTTTTATGCAATTTATACCTTATGTACTATAGCTTGATACAACAAAAAAAATGTAATAATAACAATAAATTGAATAAAAATTTCTAAGGATGAGATTTTAGAGAAATCTAAGTAACGATTCGTTAAAATCTTTAGGTGAAGAAATTTTTGTAAAAAGATATTACAAAAGTAATTGAGTATTAAGAAAAATATTCAATACTCAAAATTTTCATTCGTTTATCTTCCTAAGAATATATTTCTAGTTAAATGATTTTATAAAAAAAATAAAAAGGGAAGAAATAATGAAAAGGTAAAATCAATCTTCCTTGTAATACAATGATGCTTGAATATTATGATTAACTATTTTTATTTTTTGAAAAAATAGAAACCAAAACTAAAAATTAGGATTAGAATAAAAATTAAATAAGAAAGGAAAAAGTGAATAAAATTTTTGATGATGAGATTCCAGGAAGTTCGAGTAGTGATTCCGAAAATTTGCTAGGTGAGAAAAGTTTTTAAAAATTACCAAAATATTGAGATATTTAGAAATTTCTTTTCAATATGAAAATTTTTCATTTTATCATTATTTTTAATTTGAATAGTTTTTTTAATAATATAAAAATATACATTTTTTGAAAATAAATTTATTTACGAATAAATATTTTATTACATGACTTTTAAATATTAATAATTATTATAAAAGCAAATGAAAAATCTTCGAGGATGAAATAAAAAAAAATCTGAAAAGTGATTCTTTAAGAATCTCTAGATAAAAAATTTATCTAAAATGCCACTAATGTATTGGAGTATTTTGATTAATATTCGATAATATTTTTTTTATAAATGGCATAAAAATGAAATTTTAAAAATATTTTTTGTTTTTAAATTATAGATATTATACTTTAAGTTTTTAAATATAAGTATTGAAAATAAATATGAACTATTAAGGATATGATTTTTGAGAATTTAGAATAGTGATTCTTAAATATTCTTTAGGTGAGATGATTCCTTTTAATTGTTTGAGTATTGAAATATTTTTATTGATTTTTCAATATGTCAAGTTTTTATCTATTTTTCAAGTATACTAATAATAATAATAATAATAATAATAATAATATGTTTTCAAATAAAATTAAGGAAATTAAATTTTAAATACCAAAATTAAAACCCTTTTTGTCCAAATTGAAAGATAGCATATAATTAATTAGTACTATTTTTAACGGACACTATGTGGGTGTTGATCTTTCCCATGCATAATCAGTTCATGAACCCAAATTGTTTCGTATACTTAAAAATTATTTTTTTGATAAAGTTTTAATTAATTTTAAAATTTATTAAAAAATAATTTTAATAAGTGATCAATCATACTTAATAAAAAAAAATTGATAAATTTTTTTTTAATTTTTAAATTCATCTAGCAGACTTCAAAATTGTTACGACAATATGTCATTGGTTTTAGACTATAACCGATCATCATTTACCAATAATTGTGTGCCAAAAGGCAAAATTTGAATGAATATGGAGTAACCACTTGTTTGAATCTATTAGCAATAACTTGGGCCAACAAGGGATGAAAAAAAAAAAAAACGAGAAAAAAAATGTAAACTGATAAATGTGCATTAATGGAAAAGGAACCATGATGCTGTAACTGTAGGAAAGTCAAACAATATAACCTAAACTTTCAATTGATATTTAAGGACGGATAGCTCATTTGTGAACAATAAAAGTAAAATTTTGGTATTTTATTGACCAAGTAATTAAATGAAGACTTTTTTGTATTATTGAAAAGTCTTTGTTTTTGCTTGTTTTAGTAAAACTCTTTGTTTTTATTTTTATTTTTTTTAATTTTAGAGTGATAAAAATACACACAATTAATAATGGGTTCTTAAATTTTTGCTACTCAATATCATATCGAGTTTCAGTTAAGTTGAATTAGAATGGTTCAATAATTTTCTCTTTTATTTATATATTTTCAAATTTAATATTATTTATGAATTTCTATAATATTAGTATGAATAATTTAGTAACAATAATTTGAACGTTACTGATTAATCTACTCTTTTTTTTTTTCTTTTTAAAGATGAACGAAAGAATTTGTTATTAATTTTGGTGATAAAGAATCAAATTGTTATTATATCCATTCATTTTTTTATATTTAAAGATGTTTGCATTAAAATTCTATTCACTAAAATTAAAAATTTTACATTTTTTTCCATAAATTACATGATTATCGCAAAAAATCATCATATTCAAACAAAAAACCAAAGGGGGCTGCTAATGACAAAGGATTTGATTTGGGAATATACAGAGAATTAATTAGGGTTTCTATCTTTTGAATGAATAATGATTGATCATTTAAGTGTTCACCTAAATATATATATATATATATATACATTTAAAAAATCCAAATTTCTATTGATAGCATGACATAATATATATATGTTATAATATATATCAAATTAAGTATTTGACAAGAAAGATATAATAAAGTCTGAGAGCAATCTCCACCACAATTGATTAAAAGGTTGGTGGCCGACTACAAAAGAATAGGCAAGTATTGTGCCAATTGATATGGGAGGAAATTAAAATTTCGTTACTTTTTTTTCTACAAAGTGGGCATAACCTTGACAAAATACAGAAGGAGATCTTGGTTTTGAACTAACATCTTTATATTCTTCTAAGGGCTCTTTAGCTTTAGCTACTAACGCAACGCATGAAGGGCAAACTTTGTTACTTTTCAAAAGTAAGTTATTATTACTATTTATGCTCTTAACCACTGCTTCGACTAATTAATTCAATCATCTTCACCCCATGCAAGACTTCTAAATGTTAATAGTCGTAGGAAAAAGGATAAAATGAAACGGTTATTTAATATCGATAAATATATTATTTTTATTTAAATTATATCACACAATTATATTTTTAAAAAATCAATTATAATAAATTTATTGAAATAGATGTTTATTATTTAATTATAATATTTGATATATAATAAAAAAAATTATTTTTTTGATATAATTTAAATGGTAATAACATGTATTAATGTAGAATAATTATTTCATATTATCTTTTCACGAGGCGGTGATAGTGGCAAAAGAAAATACGATATGTAAATTGGTACGGACTTGGTTTTTAGATTACCACCATTAATTATATATCAATAATTGTGTGGCAAGATGAAATGATAAAATTTGAATGGACATGGAGTAACCACTTGTTTGAATATTTTAGCAATAACGTGAGCCGACAAGAAACAAAGACAGAAAAATAACAAGAAAAAGGTCAACTGATAAATCTACGTCAATGGAAAGGGGCCGTGATGTTGTCTACATCACGAAAGTCAAACAATATAACCTAAGTTTTCAATTGATATTTGAGTAGGGATTTCTCATTTGGAAAAAAAAAAGTAAAAATTTGGTTATTTATTAATTAAGTAATTAAATGAAGATATTTTTTTAAAAAAAATTAAAATAAATATATTTTTTAATTTTTTAAATTAAAATAAAATATATTATACTTAACCATCTAAGGCATATAATTATAAATAATATATTTGAGATTATCTCAACAAATGATCATCGATAAGATTAAAACTCAAAATTTTTAGTTGAAAAAAACGAATCTTATTCAATTAAATCAATTACTGTATTATTGAAAAAAGTCATTATAATTACTATTTTATCTTTATTACTTTTTCCCTTTAATTTTTATTTACCTTTCCCATTTATTTTTTTAACGAAAAAATTTTCAAAATTTTTTTTCCTATAATATTTTTACTTTTTAACTTTAAAATCATAGAATTTTAATTCTATAATTCTTTTAAAAATTTTATAATACTATAAAAATCAAACCGTTGTTTCCAAAATTAGGAACCTGTGATTGGGAATCACCTATTCCTTAGATCTCGCGGAATTACTCCTCTTTGCTCTAATGGAAAACCATCTTCCCTACTTTTTAACCCTTTTCCCCTTGGTCTACTTCATATTCATGGCCTTGAGGACATGGATGAAACCCAAAGCCAATGGCTCTGCATCAAGGCTCCCACCAGGTCCACCGAAATTACCTCTCATAGGAAACTTGCACCTCTTCATCGACACCGAAATTCATCGCTGCCTTGCTCGCCTGGCCCAGAAGTATGGTCCCGTGATGCACATGCAACTTGGAGAAGTACCGACGGTCGTTATTTCATCACCAGAAGGAGCTAAAGAAGTGATGAAAACCCATGACTCCATTTTTTCCGAGAGGCCTTATCTCTATGCTGCTGAGTCGTTAACTTACAATTTTAAAGATATTGCGTTTTCCCGTGGTGAATACTTGAGACAGATACGTAAAATTTGTGCAACGGAGCTGTTGAGTCAGAGAAGAGTTCAATCATTCAGATCAATCAGAGAAGAAGAGATGACTAATTTAATTAGAACCATCTCATCAAAAGCTGGACAGTCGATTAAACTGAGAAACATGTTGTTTTCTTCGGCACTTAGCATAATCTCAAGGACAGCCTTCGGTGGCAAATGCAAATACCAAGAAGCATTTCAGAAACTTCTCCCTGAAATTGCAGAAGTGTTCGGTGGTCTCAGTATTGTTGATATGTATCCTTCCATCAAATTGCTGCATCTAATCAATAAAATGAGGCCTAAAAATCAGAGATTGTGTCAGAAAGTGGATGAGATTCTTGAAAACATCATTCGTGAACATAGGGTTAGAAAATCAACAGCAAAGGGAGGTGAAGATGAAGTAGCTGATGATCTTGTGCAAGTTCTTCTGGATATTCAGGATCATGGAGACCTTGAACTTCCCTTATCAACCTCTAGCGTCAAAGCAATTACCTTGGTTAGTTATTTTATTAATTGTTTTAAATCATGCTCATCATCATGCACAATATGCCACCATAAATTACATCAATATAGTCTTATATTTTTATTAAAATTAATTAACTTTTATATTTTTTTAATTATAAATTTTTTGATATACGGTTTATTCTGTTTCTGTTTAATAAATTAGGGATAATTAAAGAATAAAAAGTTAATTTTATTAAATAGAACTTTACTTGAATTTAATTCAATTATAAAAATTTTAATAGAAACGAATATAAAAGTTATAATAATATTTGTTAGTTAAATATAAAAGATAATATTCAATAAATTTAAAATTTAATTCAGTTAATTTATATAATTATCTTTAAAAGATGATATCTAATAGACTCAAAGTTCGAATCCCAACCTCTGCAATTTTTTCTCTTATTTTCAAACTACAGCCCTTCATATGTAAAAAAAAAGAAAAGACAATATTCAATTAGACTACAAGTCTATAGCTTGGAATAATTAATTAAATAGGTCTAAACTCTATTATTAAATTTATCAGAAATGTAAAAATACATCAATGATATATATATTTTAAATACGCTAACATTTGGTTAAATGATAAGTGCATGTATATCATTTAAAAAAAAAACAAGATTTACATCTTTATTATCCAAATAATAAAAAAAGTTAATTGAAATTAATAATCAAATTCCAGAATATGTTCGCTGCTGGAGGTGATACATCATCTACAGTTGTAGAGTGGGCGATGGCAGAAATGTTGAGAAATCCAAAAATAATGGAGAAAGCACAAGCAGAGGTAAGGTGTGTCTTTGCTGGAAAAAGAGATATAGATGAAGCACGAGTTCATGATTTGAAGTACCTCAATCAAGTCATCAAAGAGACACTAAGATTTCACCCTCCTGCTCCTTTGCTACTTCCAAGAGAATGCCAAGAAAGCTGTGAGGTAAATGGGTGGGTGATACCTGCCAAAACCAGGATCATGGTGAATGCGTGGGCAATCTGTCGGGATCAAAATTATTGGGCTGAAGCTGAAAAGTTTCATCCTGAGAGATTTAATGACAACTCAATTAGCTATAAGGGAACAGATTTTCACTACATTCCATTTGGTGCTGGAAGAAGAATTTGCCCAGGAATGTCCTTCGGAATTGCCAATGTTGAGCTTACACTTGCAAATTTACTCTTCCATTTCGATTGGCAGCTTCCCCATGGAATGAAACCTGAGGATCTAGACATGACCGAAGTGTTAGCTGGTGTAGTGCGAAGAAAGGTTGATTTGTGCTTAGTTCCCATTCCACGTGATTTTGGGATCACTTCGGAATAATATATTTCTTCAGCCAATAAATGTTTATTACAACTTCAATAGTGATTAATTATTGTGCTTGGTCGAATACTTGCCGTTTCACTCGTAATAGTTTTCTTATCATGTCTTACGCACGTGATTAATGTTTTGTCTCATTTGCAAGATATTATTATAAATTTATAATAAAATATAGATACTTGTGCTAATTTAATCAACAATTATAAACATATAATAAGAAAAAAAGAGAAAACTCCATATGAGTAATTGTAACCAGACTGAGGAGGATGTCCAAGTCGCTGATGCGCAAAAGTCAGTTTTGAGACCAATCATGGCTAAGGCAGATGGTTTGATCAATGGCTTGGCTGCTTGGAATTGGAATTCATAGACTCCATTGCTATTCAGGCTTTGACCAAGTGGCTTCCTCGAGTGAAAATCTTTGATCAAGAAACAAGAAGGAAAAGTTCCATGTTATCTTGTTAGAATCAAAGTTTAGAGATTGAAATAAGGTTCTTTGAGGCTTTAGGTACGCAAAGAATATCATTTAACATAAATGATTGAATTTGGTAAAAGAACCAAACCTGGAGTGTTTTAGCGTAGAAACAAAAAATGTGTTTGATTGAGCAACAAAGAGAGCCAAAGTATTGTTCCAATATGTTGGTAGAGTACTGGAGTACTAGGTCTAGTGACCGGGGTTCCAATTCGTATAGTCTCAAATACCAAAAAAAAATTGAGCAAAAGTAATGACCAGGTAAGAGGTAGAGTTTTGGTGTTTAAGCAGTTCTTCATATTCAGATAATTTGTCAAGAAATTCTTCAAAGGAGATGTAGGTCTCTCCTTTGAAAATTTTTTTAAATATTGTATAGGGTATGACAATGTTTTATATTTGGCATGTAAATACGAATTTAACATGATAGTTTTTCATGTTGTAAACGTGTTTGACACAGTAAAAATATAAGAATTATCAAATCTAATTTTGAGTTGTGAAATGATACCTAATGAGAATTAAGCACAAATCATGTTTTCTTTGCATTGTAGTTCTGAAAAACTCGGTCATGTCGAGAACTTCAGGCTTCTTTCCGTCAGGAAGCTTCCAGTCAAAACAGTAGAGTAGATTTGCAAGCGTAAGTGCAACATAGGCAATACCAAATGACATCCCAGGACACATCCTTCTTCCAGCACCAAAAGGAATAGATTCAAAATACGTTTCTTTATAGTTAACTCAAGTATCAGAAAATCTGTCTGGATAAAACTTGTCAGCTTCAATCCAATAGTTTTGGTTTCGTCCTATTGCCCATGCATTAACCATGACCCTAGTTTTGGCAGGTATTTGACATCCGTAAATCACACAGTTCTCTTGGCATTCTCTTGGAAATAGCAAAGGATTAGGAGGGTGTAATCTCAATGTCACTTTAATAACTAAATTGAGGTACTTCAAATCATGAATTCTTACTTCATCAACACCTCATCTAGAAGCAAGGAGAGTCCTAACTTTTGCTTGTGCCTTATCCAATACTTTAATATTGCTTAGCATTTCTGACATATCCCATTCTACAGCTGCAGATGAGGTTTGACCCCCGCAAAGAGCAGATCCTGACATAGGATTAAGTCTAATTAATTAGGCATGTAATAAAGACTGATTTTATGTATGAGATGCATATGTCAACATTATGATCGATCACATATATATAGCCAACAATAACTATTTCTTCAGTTGATAACTATCGAATTAACCCTTTTGAACGCAACTTCAAATATTGACAGAGGTTATTATCAGTTGTAGACGAAGACAAAAGTTTATCACGTGAGAAACTTAGAAAAATAATAGATGGAAGTAACTAACAAAAACCAGGGCTACGATACCATGTTAAACTTTCAACCTACAATCAATTATCTACAGATGGAGGGGTCTAACTTAACTATAATATTGCAAAAATTCAATATTTAACATATATAAGATAACATTAATTTAACAGCATACGGTATGAAACTAGAAAATAACTAACTAGAATGATTGCTTTGGTGCTGGATCTTGTTAAGGGAACTTCAATGTCTCCACCATCATGAATATACGGTAGGACTCGGACAAGATCATCGATTTCATTTTCTTTTGTCATTGTTGTTAATTTTGTAGCTCTATATTCCTGAATGATGTTTTCAAGAATCTCGCCTACTTTTTTCACCAATCTCCTATGTTTAGTCCTCATCGCATTGATCAGATGCAGTCATTTGATCGAAGGATATTTATCAACGACACTTAGACCACCAAACAATGCTACAATGTCAGGCAGAAGTTTCTGAAATGCATCTTGATGCTTGCATTTCCCACCAAAGGCTGCCCTGGAGACTATACTGACTGCTGAAGAACGCAACATGTTTTTAAGGTTGTTAGGCAAGCCTGCTTTTGATGAGATGGTTCTTACTAACCTGGAGATCTCTTCTTCCCTGATTAATCTAGTGACGTACAATATTCAACCATGTCAATCTTGTCTATACGAAAGGTCAGCCCTTCCAGCATAGTTCCGAGAATTATTTTGACACCCTGGCTAAACTTTGAATATTCTTTTTCTTCTTTCTAGCATTAATTAGTTGTTTAAGTAATTATGGATTCGATGGGAGCAGAACTCATTGGAGGTCAAGTTGGTGAGTTTGTAGAACTCGTCAAGAGAAGAAAAAAATTAGAAGGCATCAAAATTAAGATTTTGAAATGCGTTTTGATACTCATATGTGCCTCAGAAGAGAGGTAGTGAATCTCTCGATGTGAACTGTGTGATACATGTCATCCATCTTATGAGTAAGGTTTGACTAAGACATGTGATAAACACGTTATATTCCTCGAGGTATTTTCCTCTTGTGGGCCTCATAGGTTGGGTATGATATAACAAATGTCGCCCAAGCGTGATCGTGATTATAAAATGACCATCCTTAAGCCTGTTTAAGGTTGGGTAAGCATTGTGCTCGGGTGAGCATCTAAGAGATGGGAAATGATCGTCTGGGGCAATTAAATTGCATGATTAAATGGCATGATCTTTGTGGGGCTAGACAGTTCGCCTAATTGCCCTTAACGCATTGAGATCGTGCCTTCAGACCTTTTACCTTTACTTTTCAGACTTTGTATGGCTCAAGCCATGTGTAGTACATGTAATACTTGGTTGTTACGCTCTTTCCGTAAAGTAAGTTTATTAGAGAGTGTATCGCTAATATTTATATGTTTAACGATCTTTTTTTTTTTATTCTATATGAGATTAATACGTTTTACTTGCTTTCAAAAGTGTTTGTTATGATATTTTCTTTTATTAAATCTCATAACATCCTTTTTATAATTGTCACTCTACTCTTTTGAATTGTTTTGACTAGAAGCTTCCTGTGGTGCAAAGCCAGAGTGAAAACGAATATCAAAAGTGGAAATTAGACATCAAGTTTCTTCAACGAGGATAAAGGAGGTTTTTCGATGGTGATTCTTCTGACCTCCAATCAATTTTAGAATTAATCAGCCTTTGAACTTTTCAGGATTATAAAGAATCATGATGCTTAACCTGATGAGTTGATCTGTAAAGACATAAGAGAAGATTGGAACTTGGAAGCATATAGAAGAACAAAAGAAAGAAAAGAAAATTGGGGCTGAGAATCGTGTATCAATTGGTGTTCATGTCGACCTCCTACGTTGCTTCAAAGAAAACTAAATTAGCAATCAGCTTTGCTTAATGAAACAAGGGCTTCAACTATCCACAAAAATGAAAAAGTTTTGCTTGAAATCCCTGTGACTGACTAAGCGCAGAGGCTTGGCCCTTTTTTATTGTTACTGTTATTCTGCTAATTTGGAAAAAAAAAAAAAAGATGACATAGCATGAAATATTTCATTTAAAGAAATAAGATTAAAAGTACCTTTATAAAGGAATAAAAATTTTAAACTATCTTATTATAAGAAAAAACTCCAACATCTGTACTGATTTTTGGTTATCGAGTATTTTTTTGGTCTAAGGTAGGGATATAAATAATATATTAATACTTGTAAGTTATTCGGATTTGATTCGAATAAAACTTAAATTCGATTTGATTATTATCGAATCAAGCTCAAGCTTGAGTAGTTCCACTCATCAATCAAGTCGAATACATATATTTTTATATCCAGCTCGAGCAGCTCACAAGTTTAATTGAGTTTTTATATTTAAATATATTTTTATTATTTTAATTAATAAAATATCTCAAACTCAAGCTCGAACTCAAGTACAAATAATCGAGTTTTTGTCTAATATAAGAATTAAGCTTATTTTTACATTTTAATCAAGCTTTATTGAGCAAACTCGAGTAATTCAATTTTTATCTCGAGTCAAACTTGAACTAAAAAAATAAAATTCGATCGAATTTGAACCTTATTTCGAATCTAAAATTTTGAATCAAGTTCGAGTTCGAACTTAATATTGTATCAACTCGAACTTGATCGATTACATTCATAATCTAAGGCACTCATTAATCTTATTTATTAAAATATAGTAGTTTTAGACTTAATGCTTAAAATGAGGTATTTTCTATATGTGGATTTCATGTCAGATAAAAAAATTTTAATTAATTAAAACTGTCAAAATTTTAATTAGAAAAGGCTTACTTACTGTACTGCTCCATTAGTTTTGCTTTTCAATAACAAAAGTAATCAAATATTACACAACTAAAAGAGAACAATTTTTAAGAACTTTGAAGAGAAACCAAAGGAATTAGAAAATCTCATGATCCTAAAACTCTAAGCACTAAGTCCAGAAGTCATTTTTGTCCCAAATGAAATCAAGGAAGATGGGGGCTTTGAAAACCAATACTTGCGATGCATATCTTTCTTTCGAATTGGACGGGTATTAGCTAGTCAAACCGCAACTCAATTGGCTTCTTTTTTATCCTATTTACTTTACCGCTTCAAAACTATTACACATTGCTCGATTGACTTCTTCTCCATCAGTTAGCTATTTTTTTTAATCCTTAATCAAAAAATAAAAACTGAGAGAAGTGTGGAAGAGGTAAGGGAAGGAAATTATCTCATGGCTCCCAAAAAACCAGCAAAATCAAAGAGTTTTCTTGATAAAAAAAAAACCCACATTACAGAAAATAAGAAAGTAAAAGCAAATTCAGAACCAAAAAATTAAATAAAAAAGATGAAAAATTTTGAGACAAGAGAAAGTTTATAGAATAAAATTTAAAAAGCATTTTTCTGGTTG